ACTGAGCAGGCCAGGGCAGGACATTGATGTTAGCTGCGGCGAGAGTCTGTCTTACAACTCTTGCGGTGTGCGGTCGTGCATTATCATGCATTAACTGAAATAAGGGACCGATTTGCACTTGTAGAGGAACGATGACGTCTGATACAATCGTCTCAGCATAAATTTGAGCGTTGAGGTTGCCTCTGATCCAAATCAACTCAGTTCTTCCGCCGATCCAAATACCCGCCCATACCATGATGGTTCCACCACTATAAGGATGGACTTCCTGGCAGGATTTTAATCGCTGTTGGCGTCCAGGGGTTCTCCAGTGTCGTATACGTCTTGTATCCGGTCTCATACCAAAACGAGACTCATCAGAAAAGCACACGAAACGCCATTGTTCTTCTGCCCAATTTCTGTGTTCAAGAGCCCATTGATATCGAATCCTACGATTGTGCATTGCTATAGGTGGTACCCGTAGCGGTCTTCGGGAATGAAGGTTCACTTCATGCAAGCGGTTTCTGACTGTTTGGTCGCTAATAAGTTCCCTGAAGAGTGATGAAGCCTCACGGCTAACATCATGGCGGTTATTGTTGGAGCTCTTCGAGTTAAGATTTGAATGTATCGGTCTTGTCTCCGTGTGGTGCAGCGATACCGTCCTCCATGGCGCTCAGCCACGGTACCAGTGCTTCGGTATCGTGTCCAAAGTCGACTGATAACACTCTGACTTGTATTCAGAGCTAAAGCCACAGTACGTTGCCGGGAACCAGCTTCTATCATTCCCACGGCTCTGAGCATTTCTTCCCTGCTTAAATGACGTCGCCGCTCCATAATAACGTTGGTTTTAATCAGTAGTAGGGAAACAGTAGCACTAATAATGTCTTCAATGCGTTGTATGTTTTTATAGGGAAAATATTGACAGCTGATTTTCATCTTTTACTCGAATTTGATTCACAGTTCCTGATTCAAATTATGAAATGCACCAAAAAGGATCCATATAAATTTATAAAATCATAAATTTATTACAAAGCCACATCTCAATCTCAAGAAATCCGCATAAAAATGCTTGATCCCTAGACACTTTTGATGTGTGTATGTCTTTTTTGATAATTAATGAGATAGAAAATCAAAATTGTAATACATTATGTTACAACAAAAACATATTTCTGATGTGGTAGTAATTAATTTGATCTAATTTATTGAACATTATTTAGAGATTCAGGCGTTTGAAGTTGTGGCTGTGTTGTAAAATAGCTGCATTAGAACGATCAGTACAAAAAAGGGAAAATAGAATTTGCAAATATTCTACATTAACTTACAATAGGAAGAATAAATCTACTGTTTACTTCTATTGGAAATAGTCAAAATCTCTTCTAAGGGGGTCAACGAGGCGCTCAAAAAATAAGATTTTTTGCATAAAATGTGAAAGGGCTCTTAACAACAATAGTTAGTGATTTGGCACAAAAGATCACTCTGAAATGAGTGCGTTTTGAATGCTTTATATACTTTACTGATGGTTGAACAATGCTGAACTATACTCGTAAAGGCCTCCAGTCAATAATACCTATCTATATATGCCACAAGTTGGGACCACATAGCGATACTGAACGCACTTGACCTCAACAAATAGTGTGCAGTCAACTACTCAGTGTTGTGTCACAACTGTCGCCAGTCACGACTGATGGATGACTGCAGGGGGCGTGCCCTGAACTCCTGTCGTAACGCAATTACAATAGTTAAAATGAGAGATCGCTGTGTGCGTTGTGCACTGAAATCTCGATTTGACCTTAACTTTTGGATCGCTTTTGGAGTCTTATAGTAGAGCACGCACATGCAAACTCTGCTTTTCCCTGTACTGTGATAAATCAGCAGGTTACTCATCAGTACCCTTAGTACGAGTTTGAGCTCACGAAAACTTATGATAGTTTTCGTAACTGTAAATTATGTTTCTATGTCCATTTTGGTGAAAATTAACCAAATATACTTAAAATTTACGAAGATGCAAATGATTTAATGATAGAATTTAAACACTGTTTATTTGTATTGAAACGAAAACAATAAAATCAGTACCCTTAGTACGAGTGCGAGCTCACGAAAATTGTCATAGTTTTCGTAATTGTAAAACTCGTACTAAGGGTACATACAGGTAATAAACTATCTGTGTGCCACAAATATTATTGCAATCTTATCAAAGTTTTTCGAGTGATTTGTAACAAATTTTCTATGTAATGTTTCTATGTAAATATTTATGTCCCCACTGCTGGGGCACAGGCTTTCCCTATGGCCATCCATAGGGAAGGCATGTGCCCTGCTGTGTGTGTGAACTATAGGAAGATTGGGTCATGACCCACCACGCGGGCCCAGTGCGGATAGGCGGGTGCTAACGACTGCAGATGCAGCCGGGACCAACGGCTTAACGTGCTTTCCGAAGCATGGAGGAGCTCGAGATAGTAAATTTTTGGTCACCCATCCAATGACCGACCACTGCGAAAGTTGTTTAACTTCAACGATCGCAGCCGAACGCGCTAACCACTTGCGCCATCGAGCTTCACATCAGGTAATAAACTATGTGCCACAAATATCATTGCAATCCAATCAAAGTTTTTCGAGTGATTTGTAAAAAACTTTCTTTGCAATGTTAATTACCTTTAATTCCTTTACCCCCTTATTAACTAACGAAGATTAAGCTCGGATTAGTTACTCCATGTTTTGTCTCTGTTAATTGAATGGCAAATGACATTTGAGTGATATGACCAAAACACGGCGTAACTAGTCTATGTTTATTCCTCGTTTAATAATAAGGAGGTAATGGTTGAGGAGTTTGATGGCGCAAGTGGTTAGCGCGTTCGGCTGCGATCGTTGAAGTTAAGCAACTTTCGCAGTGGTCGGTCATTGGATGTGTGACCAAAAATTTACTATCTCGACCTCGTCCGTGCTTCGGAAGGCACGTTAGCCGTTGCTCCCGGCTGCATCTGCAGTCGTTAGCACCCACCAATCCGCACTGGGCCCGCGCGGTGGGTCATGGCTCCCTATTCCATCCATAGGGAAGGAATGTGCCCCAGCAGTGGAGACGTTAATAGGCTGATGATGATGATGATGATGAATGGTTTATCATCGATTACTTACTTAGATCATATCTTTTTCCAACAATGGTTTAGTTATGATGACCTCTGATACGTAGACACCAATTGTTTCGTCTTTTATTCTTGATAATTACACTTGTTCAATGGGCAAATAATACTGTACTGGATCGAAGGCCGGCCGCCTGCGCAAGCGCATAAATCGCACAATCGCCGCATATTACCGACGACAATCCAATAATTGATGATCGACTCTTCTCATACCACACGTGCACATAAAACCTTATCAGTCCAGAGTGCTGTGGTTATAATTCAAGAAAAAAAAATGGAAAACAAATTGAGGGCTCTATTAAGAGGCATACCTAATTCATCATATAATAATTAAGCATTTATTTGCAAACTAGCGGCCCGCCCTCGCTTCGCTTCGGTGTAGAGCTGAAGTGTAGACTACAGTTTTTGTTCTCAGGCTTGTATTATACACAATGACATTCATCTATGATTCTTCTTATACCTGCATGCAAAGTCCCAGCCCGATCGGTTTAAAATTAACAAAGTTTCATACAAACTTTCATTCCCTATTTTATACCCTTGGGGGTAGAATTGATCAAAATCCTTACGTACGTACTAATATACGTCATAATATCTATCTGTATGCCAAATTTCAGCCCGATCCGTCCAGTGGTTTCGGCTGTGCGTTGATAGATCACTATGTCAGTCAGTCACTTTTGAGTTTTATATATATCAGCACAGCCCAAACCACTGAACGGATCGGACTGAAATTTGGCATGCAGGTAGATGTTATGACGTAGGCATCCGCTAAGAAAGGATTTTGATAAATTCTACCCCCAAGGGGATAAAATAGGGAATGAAAGTTTGTATGAAACTTATTCAATTTTAAACCAATCGGGCTGAGACTTTGCATGCAGGCATAAGAAGAATCATAGATGAATGTCATTGTGTATAATACAAGCCTGAGGACAAATACTGTAGTCTACACTTCAGCTCTACACCGAAGCGAAGCGAGGGCGGCCGGTAACAAATAATTTTAATAGTTGAAAATATCAGTTCATATTTTTATTAGTTCTAATAGTGATTGAAATTATTCATTACGATAATTTTATCAGTTCGTTACGTTTATCTATACGAATAAATATTACTCTTGTGTTAAAAATGTCAACATAAATTGAATGAATATTGTTATTTAATAATAATGGTTGAAAATATGTATCGATTATTAGGTGTTATTTTTTTTATTAGCTTAATTTAACGGTTTCTAAATATATTCAATCTATCAGAAAAATCAACTTACGTGAATCACATTTCAGCGCACCTAGCGACATCTATTGTAAAAGAATGCATTTTCTTCGCAATAAAGCTGCCACGTGGACGTTCTAGATAGATACTCATTATTATAATACGATAAAATAAAATATTACTACGTTTCGTCCAATATGTTGAAAGTCAACAACCTTTCCAATTTTATTGTGTCATGATGGGATCAGCCCACGTGCTTAACCTGACGCGATTTAAACATTTTTTACTCTTACATACTAGATATATTTTTGAAGTGAAACTTTTTTTTTGTATGATATATATATTTTTCTAGAAAAATATATTATGCAGGTACCTAAATAAAAGATTGCCTAACTTAAACTTAGGCATTAAAAGATACTACATAGAGTTAAAGTGGGAAAATAGTAAAGGCAAAACTAGCCAGTTTAATCAATGAAAACAAGAATATGGTAACTGTGACCGCACATTCGTTGGCCATACTTGGAATGCAGACTTCAGTAAAAAGCGGGTGGCTGCGATGAATCAATCGCGAATCGAGTCAGACCCACTAGGGCCAGTTTACTTGCAGAATCCTTTTATGGTGGAGGTGCCTTGAAGTTTATTGATATAATAAATAATTTATAAATGAGTTTGTTTGCTTGTTCGCAGCATGTCTGAGGGAGACGTGTCCCTGATCCGCGACGAGGACCTGTTGCGCCGCATGGTAAGACCACAAGTTTATATTTTAAGTACCTATTTGATTAATAGTATTTAGCACCATAGAGAAAAAGCGTGTGTGAATGTGTTTGAAATGAAGGATTACAGACAAGGGCGGATCCAGCTTTGGCGCCAGGGGGGGTCATATAGCCAGCTTTGGCGCCAGGGGGGGTCATATAGTCAGCTTTGGCGCCAGGGGGGGGGGGTCATATAGCCAGCTTTGGCGCCAGGGGGGTCATATAGCCAGCTTTGGCGCCAGGGGGGGTCATATAGCCAGCTTTGGCGCCAGGGGGGGTCATATAGCCAGCTTTGGCGCCAGGGGGGGGGTCATATAGCCAGCTTTGGCGCCAGGGGGGGGTCATATAGTCGTGGTATATTAAATATTGAAAGTACTTAAATAAAATCCCCCTGGGTTTGGTCCATCTGTACCCAGCCCAGGGGGGGGTCATGACCCCCATGACCCCCCCCCCTGGATCCGCCCTTGATTACAGAATCCTTCATTATATGTTGATTCCCGAACGTGAGATAGTATGAATGGTAAGAATCCTGAATGATGCGAAATATTCAAGTCTGCCCAGTCTGGGGCACTTTCATGAGCACATAAATTATCCAAAGTAACTTCCGTATAACTTTAGCTCCCTTGTGCTTGATTGAATAGCTTACTAAATTAAGAATACTTTACATATATGTGCTCCCGATACAGGTGGCGCATTAATCATACTTTTTATGTCAAAAGGCAAGCGAACAAGTATAATATGGCCCATATGTATAATAATAAAAGGTGCGCATAGCCTGTAGACGCTTGTGAAAAATAACAGTCACACCGCGCTGTTGCATGACAAATTGCATTGTAGTCTGGGCCATCTTTAACCTATGAAAGGCCCTGGGCATATTAGGATAATGGGGCCTCTATGACTTTGATGTGGATTATGACTTGAAATAGAGCGAGTCATACTGATGAGTGTACTACTGATGTTTTTTTTAAAATGTGTATGTGCTAAGTATACTATGTATATTTAAATTTATCTAAGCATGCTGAAATCGGAAAGCCTAATTTTTGGACGAGAGAAGAATAGCTTCGCTTATGTATAAGCTAGTAAGTTGGTATTGTAGTCAGTAATTTAGGTTCGATTTCATCGAATTATATAAGTTTATTTGGTAATAAATATTGGTTATCGTTTGGTGATCTGACGGAAACTAGGGACTTTGTATTTAATCTGAGGGAGGCACCTATCGATCGCGGGGTCTTGGGTACTTGCCCAAAGTGCCCACTGGGAAAGAGGGGTCTGATTGTAGTCTTCTGTAAAGTGGAGCTTACATCCCCAGAGCGGGAAATCCGCGCTACCCTTCCTGTCTTACTTACGGTAAATTAACAAACGGGAATTGATGGTTTTCAACACATGCTGAATGCTGATACTGCACATCCAATAACCAATGACGTATAATACACTATAGCTAATAACTGATTTTGCAAAACTCCTGTAGAAGTTAAAATAGCAATTCTACAAGTAGTCGCATTAACACATTGTAAGTTCTGCGTTAAGTTGTTTGGTTTTAAAGTTGGTTGTAATTGTAAATATTGTATTGGAAAAATAATGATAGAATTAATTTAATACGTAATAATTATTAAACATTATCATAATTTTCTAGTTCATAGGTTAATGTGAAGCAAAGTTTTCTAAAAAAGCTGACTTTGATAGCTTCTTCTTTGGTTATATTAAATGATAGTAAAGTGGAAGATGGTGCGAAGTTTTCCAATAGTTGGAAGAAATTAAAATTAATATCAGCTAAATCTAAAGAAAAGTTTACTAGAAAAAAAATCCCGTCCGCTGCCTGGTCCTTTTCTTTAGATTTAAACATCTAGCAGTTAAATGCTTAAAAAATAAATAAAATCATAATATCAGCTAACTTCGCATCTGTACGGTACGTTATAACCACTTAACATCAGGTAGAGTAAAATCATTTGCTAACCTAGCTATAAAAAAAACTAACAATATTCTTAATTTTATCTAAATGCAATTTTGAGTTAAGTGAAGGATCGTGTTTTAATTTATTGTGTTTTATTTTTGGTTATTTAAAGTTATGTTTTTATTTATTTTTAAGCATTTAACTGCTAGATGTTTAAATCTAAGGAAAGTTTTACTAGAAAAAATCCACGCGGATCAGGCAGCGGACGGGACTCGAACCCGCACCCTTCGCAATCCGGGCGAATGCACTGCTACCACGGCAGCGCCATCTCTTCGAATTGTAGGTAACCCACATTTAAAGTTTTTATTGACTAATTAGTTTTCATTATGCATTTCAGTGGCAGCAGACGGAGGACTTCGCCCGTAAGAAAGAGATCCGCGGGCACATGTACAGGCTGCGGGAGGAACGCCTGCGCAACCTGTACTCGCCAGAGCCGCCCGCCAAGGACGGAAAAGGTATCCACATGTTTCACTTATTACTTGCAATCCAGGTAGGGTAGCCAACGATATTAAATACCCAAGATAGACCAACATAAAAAAAAATCCTGCCCGAAACCTGTCCAAAAGGTACATTCCACGATCCACGAGCTCCGTAAGATGATCACGTTGTCAAACACAATATGTATAAGACATTACTTAAACATTGAAAGTCACCTTTAATAAGGGTTACCAGATGAAAAAATCCGTCCGGAGAAAAGGCTTGATTTCTATTGAAAAATCCTGAGATTTTTACAGTTTGAGAATTTTCTCTCAAACGTACAACAATTTAAGAAAGCCGTAACATTATCGTTTATATACATGCTGCTTATACTTTTAATTCAATATAATTTGCAGAGCTTAACATGTGGGGCATTTTATAAATTCATAATTAAAGAAAAAACCTTACTTAAATATGTATCATCACATTTAAGTATGATAAAATTGAACAAGTACCTACTTGGATAAATAAGTACTGATTTTAACCATGCCATTATTATCAAAGGAAGATTATTTTTAGTTTTTATTAAACAGATCTTTAAAACGTTAGCTGTATTTTATTGAAAATTCAAAAAATCCTGAGATTTCAAGAGATTTTCAAAATCCGGCCGCAATCCTGAGAAGAGTCCAAAAATCCTGAAATCTCAGGACAAATCCTGAGATATGGTAACCCTACCTTTAATGCAAACTGTATCAGATCTTAATTAAAATACATGCATCAAAGAGTCATGACAGTTCGAAATGCAAGCTTGTAATCGGACCGCTAGGAAAAGAGACGGGTATATAACCAACCATGCATTTGAACATCATAAATATTTTCTATCAAATCAGTTTATAATAAGTATTAGAACAAAGATTGCATCAAATGCGTTAAATTCACAAACATTGATTAGATAACTGTTGGAAAAATGACACTTTACATACTACAAGTATTTTTTTCGCATTATTTCACGGAGCTCTGAGGTATGTTCACTTTTCACCGGTCCGCGCGTCACTGTAAACCTAGGGACACGAAAAAAGTATCGATACTTTGTGGCATCGAGTACTTTTCCTTTCGATACCGATACTTTTGTACTCGATACTTGGTTTTCGATACTTCAACTAAATAACTAAACTATAAAAAGTATCGATACCTTTAAAAATTTGGATAAGCGCCTTATATTGCTGGCAACGCCATCTAGTGGAATCATAGCAAACCTTCTAAAACATTCGATTGCGTTGATATAATTGGAAGCAGAAGCAATCTAGTGTGTCCTGAGACTTACGTACTTGAGTAATTCACGTTTAGTTTTGCAGCTGATTATATTAACATTACACGTTTTTAAGAGTATCTACATTGCTTATAAGGTCCTATGAAATGTACTCGATACTTTGAAGTATCGATACTTTTGCTTCAATACTTTTACGAGTACGATACTTTTTTTCCGATACTACTCATGAGTACAGTATCGATACTTTCTATTCCATATCGTGTCCCTATGTAAACCAAGAAGTGCTTGAGTGGAGTTCAAGGACACATATTGAGCGGACGTGGTGTATCTAGCTAGGGTATTTAATTTCGTTTAGGGTAGCTGATATTAATGCGATATTTCTTAACGCACCTTTAAATCAGTAGGTAGTTTAAACACAATGTTTTTGTACCTGCAAATCTTGCAATTTACAATATTGCCTATTGACAACGAGGTATACTCTACCTCGGGTTATATAAATTTACATGCACACAATATTTAGCTTTGCCTTAAATCACTAGAGTAGTTGTTTTGTGCCCCAATTCTGCAGGTTGTGAATTCACGTCGGAGCAGGGGCATGTCAAGTCCTTCGCCGACCAGACCTTCCAGTCCATGAAGAGCAAGGAGGTGCGCGACGCGGGCTCCCCGCCCAAGGAGTTCACGTACCGCGGCCAAGGTGCCTACCTCTACCGACCTAGTATAACCCCTAACCGCACTAACGCTTCTTAACTGGTTATAGAAGCCGACCAGCATTTACTGTCGACTAATTTATGCTTTGATCTTTGCAGATTTGAAGGAGCTCTCCAATGCCGGCTGGAACGTCGAGTCAGAGAACCGGACGTCAGATGACGGGCATACTCACGTAAAGTCAGTGCAAGCCAATATCGAAGGCCGATATGATGTAGACGGCGGGCGTGGGCAGTTTGCCGCCTGTGATCAACACAAGCAGGCGGTCACAGAATACCAAGACGACAACACCAGCCTCAAACGTAACGAGAGCTCCTCCAATACCTCTGCTCGCGAGCAAGTCGTGAGGAAAACGGATGATGGAACACATTTTTCATCCACTACTAGCTCCTCTACTTCAGCATCGAAAGTCCAGCAATTTTCCTCGACGAAACACGAAACAGTGCCATATTTAACCAACGATGACTATGACCGACAGCAAATTGATGATACTTACCGAAATGAACAATCGATAACAAGAAGAGAAGTCACTAATGATTACGAACAAAGCTTGAGGAGAAATGATTTAGAGCAAGGAGAGTTAGTATCCAGGAAAATTGATTACCCCGATGACAACACCAAAATTGTTGTTGAAACAAGGCTTTTACCAGATGGTACCCGTGTGACTAGCACACGTCGAGAATTTCATGCGCCTGTCGTACACAACAGTCGCTCAGAACAGCATTCACAACAAACGAAAAGGGAGACCCAGTCATATAAAACTTCTTCACAACAAAAATCTGACTCCAGGGAATTTACATCAAAAGTAACACATCAGAATGTTGACAATCAGTGTACCAATATTGTGGACTCTCAAAAAACAGCTGATGCATATGACTTTAAACGAGATCAACAAACTCATTTCGTCGACAGAAACGATACTAAAGAACAGGTAGATCGACATCAGCATACAACAAATATAGAAAAAACTAATAAACGAGAAGTAATTTCTGAAGACGTTCAGAGAAGCAACAAAAAAGAGCACTATGAATCTCTTGATGTACAACATCTGTCCTCTGAAACAAAGAAAGACAAATTAACAGAGGAGGTTACCGAAAGGAAAGTGACAAATGACCAATATCAAACTACTTACAATACTGATTATACCCAAAAAAAGATAAGCAATGACTGGAGTCCGACTCAGCAAGCTTGGGCTAGCACCCTACGGGCTGACACTCCAACTTCCACAACTCCCTCGACGAGAGCTTCCTCACCAGGTACGCGCACTTTTCAATCCAGCACATCTTCTCTGAGAAGTAGTGTGAGCCCTGATAAAATCAGTAGGAAACCACATAGCCGCGGAGGGAGTCCTACCAAAGTAGACAGACGTTCACCTACTCGTACATCATCTGAAAAGTATTACAGTACACATTCTAGCAATTCTGTAATTGAAAGTAAAACCAATAGATACGTTAGTCCTGAAGGAAAGCCTTCACATGGAAGATCTCCCACTAGGCCCAGCTATAGCCCTGAAAAAACTCTGAGAACAAGTGTTAGTCCTGACAGGGACCCAAATGAATCTCCTCGTAGGTCATATACTAGCCCTGATAGAAAGACTCCAAGCAGAATGGGTCCCTCCGATAATATAAACAGGAATCAAGAAAAACTACAAAGGCCAAATGAAAGTCCTGACAGAAAACCTTCTCCTTATAATGTTCCAGGGCGAAGTTACCCCAGAAGCACATCGCCTTCGAAATTCCAAAACAATAACATGATGCCTCGTGCAGTGCGTTCAGAACAAAGTCCAACAAGACTTTTAGATCAACCTCATGCAGTTGAAGCAGTTTTGAAAAAGTCACCTTCCCCTACAAGATTCCCCCATCGATCAAGCATTAGTCCCGAAAAAATACTTCCAGATAGCCATACTAGAGGTTTGTCACCAGCAAAATCTCCTCGCGAAAAGACACCCACTGATAAAGTATGTCCAACTGCATCTCATCCTCGCGATGTATCCCCAGCCATTCAACATAGAAGTCCAAGTCCTGCACGTAAACCAATTAATCAGCGTAATAACGATATACCAGATCCACATAAAAATATAGAGTCACGTCAATCAAGTGGCAGCCCTGAGAGAAAACCAGGCTATATGAGACCAACTGCAGCAAGTCAATCTACCAATACAGATACTACTAAAATTTATCCCAAGAAAAAAGCTGTAAGTCCTGATAGAAAAACTCATTCAACAAATACCGTCCCGAAGGAACCAATTAATAAATACACAAAGGAGAAAATTGATCACTATACATTCATTGACGAAGAAACCAAAATGTATTCTCATACGAAAAGAGAAAATGTGGAAGAGTACTCAAAAAGAAGCGATTTTACCGATAGTACTCATATAGAACGCAAATCTCATAAAAGTCCATCGCCAATGCGAAGTAGTCCCCTAGCAGATAAACCAGATGATTATCAACGTGAACGTATACCGAGACCTACGCTGAGGAAAAATTCTAGATCACCATCACCTCCTAAGGGACCTGTTACTTTTACAGAAGAGCTTAAGAGTGATACTATAAATACTGATAAAATGGAAACAGACATAACCAAACTCAATAAGTACAGTAATACTATAGAACTAATCGATACTTTACATGATAAAGATCATTCAGTTTCAAAATACGACACATATGACAAGAAAAGTCGTCTCAACGACACTAATGATGAAACAAAAACAGTAGTAAGTGACCGTTACGATTCACTAACACGTAGAGAAAAATCACAGAACAAAGGATCAGAAAGTCCAGTGAAAAAGACTCCGCGTCAAAGTGCTTCACCCGTAAAACCTAATTATAAGAACACTCAAATAACAAATGATTTTATAAGCTGTGAAAGGACTACGGAGGAACTCAATAAAAAGACAGTCACAAAAGAACGCCCCCGGCAGCTGATAACACCTTCAACGAGTCCAACTAGAAAACCTAAAATAGATGAAACAGCTCCCTCTACTGGACAAAGTTCACCTACAACATCTGTCAGTGGATTTATTTACTTTAGCTCACCTCGTGCTGAGCAAACTATTGTAACTGACCTTGACGAACATGATTCATACACAGAAATTGTGCATTCTGAACCAGCTACCACGGTACACGGAAGGCCAAAAAGCTTAGATGTAAAACGATCTCCTTCACCTTCTAAAATTCCTTGTAGATCCCCTTCCCCGGAAAAACGTATTTCGCCAGTTGCTGAAAATCTTCCTAGGAAAAGTTCCTTAAAAAAGCCTTCTGTTGTTAATCAAGTGTCACCAACCGAAAAACCACCCACAAATTTCCGCATTTCTCCTTCCGTCGTCAACCAAGATCAACCCGACCATATAATTGTTAAAAAAGATAGACCAGAGGGGAAAGACCTTAAAAATATTAAATCAAAGCCTCCACTTGAGAGACGGGAGACCTATGAAGAACGTTGCCGTAAAATATTGGGTATGATGGATGACGATAAGAATAAGACAATATCCAAAAATAATAAAGATCCATCAAGCTCACCTAGTAAGTCTCCCACAGATGGTGTTAGTTTTGAACACACTATTAATAAAGAAACGACGAAAACTCAGTCCACTACTAATGATTTCATAAGTTATGAAAAAGATCACAACACGAAATACGCCGATATTACTAAATCACCCCAAAGTACTACAAAAGTCCCGTCTAGAGACAGCTCTCCAACTAAATTACAAGATATAATATCGCCAAACCTGCATAAAAAATCTGATACTACAATATTGTTTCATCAAGAAAATACGTCTTTAACAACTGACGAAAATGAAGAAAAACAATTAACTCATAAGATAAAAAGTGAAAAGCATACTGATAAATATGTTCGGTCTAGTATAAGTCCTGAGAAAAAAACTTGTAAAGAATCACCAAAAGGTCACACTGTTGAAAAAAGCCCAAAACAACCAGAAAATAAATTAGACTCTAACCGCTCTTCTCCTACTAAAACACAACCAAAGAAAAGTGTTAGTCCTGATCGAAAGCAAAATATTAAAAATTTAGTTACTGAAAAAAAGGCAGAGAACATAAAATCCTCCACAGTATTAAGACAAGAAACCTACGATGTTGATGAAAGTCAACTTCTAAGTGAATCTACTCACCCTCGGGAGCCAAAATGCAAATCTCCTACCTCAACAACAAACAAATATTCACCGTCACGAGATCTGCAGAAAAACACCCCAGTACGAAGTCAATCTCCCAACAAACCCACAGCTTCTGTAAATGAAAAAACACAAGAGATGAAATCCTCCACAGTAATAAGACAAGAGACATACGATGTTGATGAAAGTCAACTCTTAAGTGACTCTACTCTGCCCTTTGAGCCAAAATGCAAATCTCCTACTTCAACCACAAACAGATTTTCACCTTCACGAGATCTGCAGAAAAACACGCCAGTACGTAGTCAATCTCCGAACAAACCCACATCTTCTGTGAATGAAAAAACACAAGAGATGAAATCCTCCACAGTAATAAGACAAGAAACCTACAATGTTGATGAAAAACAACTTTTAAGTGACTCTACTCACCCCCGTGAGCCAAAATACAAATCCCCCATTTCTACAACAAAAAAATATTCACCGTCACGAGATCTGCAGAAAAACGCGCCAGTACGAAGTCAATCTCCGGACAAACCCACAGCTCCTGAGCATAAAAAAACACAAGAAACGAAATCCTCTACAGTAATAAGACAAGAAACATACGATGTTGATGAAAGTCAACTTTTAAGTGACTCTACTCTGCCCAGTGAGCCAAAATGCAAATCTCCTACTTCAACAACAAACAGATATTCACCTTCACGAGATCTACAGAAAAACACGCCAGTGCTAAGTCAATCTCCGAACAAATCCACAGCTTCTGTAATTGAAAAAACACAAGAGCTTATGATTTCTGAAAGAGAAAAAGAAATATTAGACAGAGTACAACAATCTCTTCGAAAATTATCTCCGAACAGAACTGAAAAATCTCCCAGTCGTGGTAAGAGTCCTTCCAAATCAACAACTGCAATGCAAGATACAGAAATATTAAAGAATGAAATTACCAATATAACAGAGGTCACGCAATCTGAGGAAAGTACTAAGAGTGTAACCGCCATAGAAAAAATACAACATGGTCATCAAAAGACTAAAAGAGAGCCTAATGATGAAAAACCATCAAGCAAATTACCTTCCAGAAATACATCTCCTGTTAAAAGAAATATGGCTCCCACTCCGGTCAAAAGTCCTGAATATAACAAATCCAGAAGTATCTCTCCTAAGAAACCAGTGACATCTACAGAAAGACCTCAATCTCCACATACCCAAAAGACTAGTGGCATTAAGACGAGAGAGACTGTATTAAATTACTCTTCCAAAAAACCTACATCACCTACTAAAACAGAAAAAAATATTATAACTAGTGATATAAAGAAATCTATGACAAAACAAAATAGTTTCACAAAGACGACACCGAAGACAACACATAAAATAAATCAATTAACTGATAACAAAACTACTGAGCCGGACTTAAAACGTCCAATGCAAAAAAACCAACAGCATTTACCGAAAAAAGAGCCAGATACAAAAGTAGCACGTACAGCTAGCGACACAGCTTTAAAAACAAAAAAAGCATCACCTCAAAGAATGAAATCGAAACCAGAAATACAAATCACTGATGGATCATTATTTAAAACATCTAAACAGATCACCATCAACCGAATTACTAAACCAACAATCACTGTAAATCAAACAAAATTACCGAATAAACCAAAATCAGCTACTTCTTTAAATACATCGATCGATGAAGACGATATCATTATTGACGTCCAACAAGCTAAGTCATCAAGAGAAAATTCACCAGACAGAATTTGTCCTACTCCAATAAATTTTACAGATGAAGTTGGCACGCCTAGGTATCCTGACGAAGTCAATGAACCCGATGACGAGTTTCGTCAACGAACTTATAATACAATACATGAAACTGAAACAATCGTAGATGATATTATAGAGATATGTGAAGATGATGAATTGTTTGTAAAACGCGATATTAAAAATACTGATTTTGAGACAGACGAGTACCTTTTAAGTGTCAATGACAAGGTCTCTAAGTTCACCAATAAAGTGCCAACAACCAAAGAAACAACAAAGCTTTTTAAAGATGTAGAAAGAAGAGAACATTCTGATTATACAGAAGAAGATTTAAAATCTGATGAATGTTTATTAACAGTTTCTGAAAAAGTGAACAAGTTCGCTAACCGTCCAAGAGATGTAGATTCTAAGAGCCCTTCACGTAGAATTGTGGATGATTATGATAAAAATACAATATATCAGGATGATTATACAAAATTAAGTGTAAACGACAAAGCCAATCTATTCGTTGAAACTGCCGAGAATATCAAAGTACCAAAAGCAAAATCTACATCAAAAGTAGAACGTCCAGACCTAACGGATGTCGACGAATCTTTGAAGAGTGATGACTGTTTATTGAGTGTATCTGATAAAGTTAATAAATTCGTAAAAACAGCGGAACAATTTTTGCATCATTCTCAAGAAACGGATGAAAAAGAAAAAAAGATCAAGGAACAGCATGATCTAATCATGAAAAAAATTGTTGAAAACATTGATGTTGACAATTATAATTCGAAAGAAATGATTGATGAAACCATAGAAAGGCTGGAAGAGACTGATCGTCTTTACAGAAAGAAAAATGATGATCACAATGAAAAAAGGAACTCATTTACAAAAGAAACTGTATCATCTCATGCTAAAGTTAAAGAGTTTCCGAGTCAAAATATGAACACAGCAGGGAAAGCCCCGACAATAAAAATAACAACATTACGCAGTAGCGAAGCAGTAAAAAAAGCAAAGGCGCTTTTTGAAAATATTGCTTCTACTCAAAAATCAAACGAAACTGTTAAGGGAAAAACAACAAAACTGACTGATATTGGTGTAATAAAAAAATCACCAAAAGATGACACCTCTATTGATCTTCATCCATCTCTCGAAGATACCGTCTCATCTAATATAACAGACAATGACAGTGAAGTAGATTCAGTTCCTGAACAACCAGACCAACATATAAACCGACCATCTAGAAAAACACCCTCTAGATCTCAGCCACAGTCATCATCTGAGCATCCACGCAGCAACCCTACTAATCTCAGTCCACATTATTCAGAAAACAGACGAACTAAATCACCTATGAGACGCTCTATTGAAACTACTACAATATCTAAAACTGAAATTACTTCACATCCTGTTCAAAGAGCCGAGTCACCGTATTTAGTGCGCACTGAAAATTCAAAAACACCGCAAGAGACTGTGCCTGGTTACCAACGTCCTACTAAAACTAGTCAGATGAAAGAAGAAACAAAACCAGTAGAAGAACCAGAGGTAAGCAGCCGTCGTGGGAGCGGGAAGTTCGGCGTCGAGTTGCGCCGGACTAGCGTGGAGAGATCGACGATCAGTAGTGAACGCCGCCGTAGTGTCGAGCATCATCAGCCCTGTATAGAAGATATTTTTGACTTAGACCTCCTGGAACAAATGGTCAGTAAAAATAAAAACACATTTTGCATGCTTGTTATTATATTATTTTCAATTTCTGTAGTATATTTATTTCTTTACTGACATTATTGTACTTTTCAGTTGGAAAAAGTCGTGGGCTATGAGCAAAGGCGACGGATAAGAGCTCAAATAAGAATCGCTAGAAAGAGGATTGAAACTGAGACAGACACTTACACGAAAACTACGAAGCACACTACATCTACTGTAACAATCTCCAAGTCTAAATCTCCTGATCGTAAACAACCAAAGTCACCAGAGCGTCAACCTAAATCATCTTCACACAAAGCGCAATCTCCTGAACGTCAGGCTACACACAGTTTATCAAGGACCGTTCTCGATCACAGTCAGCCAAAGGAGCAGACACCTATGACAAACGGGCATGCAAAGGACTCCGTTAAGCATCGACCTCGCAGTCCAGGAAAATCGCCTAAATCACATCCTACGACCAAAAGCCCTGTCCGTCAACCGAGCCCAGATAAGAAAACTAGAACTACTTCTCCCAGTAAAACGCCGGTTATGAAACCGAAAACGAACCGGTTTAATGAATATGCGTCTGCATATTTGAAAAAAGCGGGCATCAATGACTCTGACAAAGTCAAAGTGTTGGAAACCAAAGTCAAAAAGAACACAGAAACAAGTGACCGAAAAATGTTGAGTCAGACCAATGAGCAGAAAGTGACCGAAACAAAATCAACCATCTCCAAAAGTTTTACCGAGAGAACATCGTCAAAAGATACGATAGATGTAGTCCGTGTTAACGGAAAAAGAACGCCATCGCCTGAGAAAAAACGAAGTCCTGAGCGGAAAGTGGAGACTCCGACCGAGCGACTGCGGGAGAAGTCACCGAGTCCGGTGCTGAAACGCCAGTTATCTGATTCTGGTAGGAAGGAGACCATAATAAAGACAGTATACGACATCGATAAGAAAGTTCAACCGAAGAATCCGCAGGAGGAGAAGCCATCGTGGGTGACGAATAAGAACCTGAAAAAGATAACTTCGGAGACGCGCACCTTCAGTAGCAAGAAGATCGAGAGTGAGAAGCCGAAGTACCGCGCGCCGAGTCCGTCCAAGGCCATAGTGAAGCCCATCGACGTGATCACGTCCAGCTACGGGCCGGGCCCCCTCGATGCCGACGGGAAGCCTCTGTTTGGCATTAAAGCACTGCGTAATGGCGCCTCTAATTATCAAGGTATGTATATACGAGAATTAGTCTGTACACTAATTCACTCATAATTACTCTTTTCAAAATATTTACACATTATCATTCCATAATAGCACCAAAAAGTCAAATTAAAAAACTATTTCCAACGAAAAATTGGTTCTACATGACATCATAAATAATATTGCTGGCCTCCGTGGTGTAAATGGTATGAAGGCCGATTTCAATGTATCGGCCTGCTCAGAGGTTCTGGGTTCGAGGCCCGGTGATGTAATTGTTTGTATTTTGAATGCGAATGTTATGGTTGTTTATATAAGTATATTTCCATAGAAAATATAGCTGTGATCTGTTACCCTAATACCCCATAATAACAAAAGCCTTACAGAACATACTTCAGGATGCTATGAAGCTACGCTAATTGGTGTGTGTTTGAAATATTAAAATGTAATATAAAAAAAAAACATTAAATCTACACCTAATGGAATATCACTAGAAGTATTATTATCTCGCGTAGTGAAAGGCACGGTGATCCGGCAAGAGTTCCACTCGCGCAATGGCAGCGAGCCGGAGGGTAGCGTGTCGGTGACCGCGTACTCCAGCTCGCCCGAGGAGCTGGAGCGGCTGCTGCGGAGCCAGGGCGAGCGGCCCTCGCGACTGCACGGCCTCGCCGCCATCACCACCACCAAGAAGTTCGGCGGCACCACCGGACACACCTACAACGACATCCATACGGTACGTTGTGCCGCGACCGCGTACTCCAGCGCCCTGGAGGACCTTGCGGCTGCACCGGACATATAAGCTGCGGCACGAAACTCTAGCGTTGACCGTTATTGTGCCGAAGTAAAAATTAAGATGTGTTGGGGGAAACTAGATGCGCGGGTGCAAGGGCGGATCCAGCTTTGGCGCCAGGGGGGGGGTCATATAGTCGTGGTCAAGTCATAATGGGTACAGATTGTGAAGTGGGTACAGATGGACCCAGCCCAGGGGGGGGTCATGACCCCCATGACCCCCCCTCTGGATCCGACCTTGCGCGGGTGGGCGTGCGTTGCGCTGATAAGCTCTCCAGTCGTACCCATGCGTAGCTCTCCCCTCCGCGTTTTGTTCAGCACTAGACTTACGAGCCGCAACCCGTACCTACAATGACATCTATACGGTACGTTGTAGTGTGACCGCGTACTCCAGCGACCTGGAGGTAGGGACACGAAAAAAGTATCGATACTTTGTGGCATCGAGTACTTTTCCTTTCGATACCGATACTTTTGTACTCGATACTTGGTTTTCGATACTTCAACTAAATAACTAAACTAAAAAAAGTATCGATACCTTTAAAAATTTGGATAAGCGCCTTATATTGATGGCAACGCCATCTAGTGGAATCATAGCAAACCTTCTAAAACATTCGATTGCGTTGATATAATTGGAAGCAGAAGCAATCTAGTGTGTCCTGAGACTTACGTACTTGAGTAATTCACGTTTAGTTTTGCAGCTGATTAAATTAACATAACACCTTTTTAAGAGTATCTACATTGCTTATAAGGTCCTATGAAATGTACTCGATACTTTGAAGTATCGATACTTTTGTTTCAATACTTTTACGAGTACGATACTTTTTTTCCGATACTACTCATGAGTACAGTATCGATACTTTCTATTCGATATCGTGTCCCTACCTGGAGGACCTCGCGGCTGGCCGCCCTCACCACCGGACATACTTACAACGATATTCATACGGTACTTTGTTTTTTTGAAATAAGGCATAGCAGCAATTTACGCTTAAATTTTATCGCCTGACTGGGCTGATGAATATGTTGGGCCTAAGAGCCTGCGCTGCGTTAAGCGGCAGCACGGTGCAGGCGTACGCTCCGCGTTTTTATTTCATGTTATTTATTTATTTAAACTTTATTGCAAAATTACAAAGCAAATGGCGGACATAATACCATAAGGCATTCTCTACCAGTCGACCAGTAAGAGCGTGAGAAAAAAACTAATATGACGGGGGCGCAATAAAGACTTTAAGATAAACCAATGATACAAATACTCTTAACAGAATACATACATATTATACACATATATATACATATGTATACACACATACATATATACAGTTATCTCACAGAGGAGCACTGCGTAGGGCGGGTCTGTTTCGCAGCGCTGTTGAAATGGCATACAAACCGTTTGACGCAGCGCAGGACGTCATTCTGGCAAGAATTTCGAAACTTAGTTAAACTAATTTTGTCAAACGTCTCTGCTTTTCATTCTCGATAGAGCATGATAAGGATATACTCACAGAATAAAGAAAGAGGTATACTATTGTCAAACTTATTTTTGGGTTTTACAGAATCATGCCAAAATCAGGCCCAATATATTCGTAGACAAGCAATTAGTAAGTGATCAAATACGAGAGATTGATCATAATTATACTTAGAAATTATTTACTGCCACTAAATAACATCTGCATAAGGTGTTGCCGAAGCTCTCGCTTCTTACGACAGTTAATATCGATTCTTACTTGATCAGAATTCTTATTCTCTGTACAGAAAGAAGAACGCGCAGCCTTGGACCAGTTCACACATAGCGATCGGCGAGTGGTCGACAGTCGAGTTGAAATCTCTGACGTCACGTCCGACACGAGAGAGAAACGCCTACACGAAATACAGGACGTGGAGAGGACAAGAGAGGAGGAAGACAGAAGAGAGAGGTCGTACCAGGACCAGCGACGGGAGTGCAGCGATAAATCGGAGAGAACGGAAAGGGTAGAGAGGAGTGAAAAGAGCGAAAGGACTGAGAAGACACAGAAGTCCGTCCGAAGAGAGGACAAAAAGACAGTCCGACAAAGCTCCGTTAAGTCCCTCACTGAGAAATTCATCAAAAACGCAAGTAAGTCATATTTCTTATCTAATAGACAAGTCCGTCCGTCCGTCCGTGGTGCTGTTTCAGCGGCCAAACCGTAAGAGATAGATATAGAGAATGTTTAAATTATAAGTTAAGAATAGTCTGATAAGACTACAAACCGGATGTGAGTAACGTAGCACTTCCGGTTTTCGAGAAATCACGTGATTTCTATTTCAAACGAAACCACACAAAATCTCCGAAGTTCTCAATTAATTAAATACTTTTTTTTTTTTTTGGAGAACATTTGGTTCACTGGTTTGCTAGTATTGTTATAATTTTTTAAGCATGTAACTGCTTGATGTTTAAATCTAAAGAAAATATAACTAGAAAAAAATCCACGCGGACCAGGTAGCAGACGGGACTTCAAACCCGCAACCTTTGCAATCCGGGCGAATGCACTGACCAATTATGCTACCGCGTCAAAATTCCTCTAAATATTCTTAAGTTGCAAGGCAGCGCCATTTCTTCGCATTGACTCACAATGTCAAATGAATACTTTTACAAGTATTAAACATTTGAAAGAAGAAATAACAATTATAGTTATAATTGTGGGTTACCTACAATGCGAAGAAATGGCGCTGCCTTGCAGCTTAAGAAAGGCTAGAGTACTATCGACGCAGCCGTATTGGTCAGTGCATTCGCCCGGATTGCGAAGGGTGTGGGTTCGAGTCCCGTCTGCTGCCTGGTCCTCGTGGAATTTTTTCTAGTTATAATTCATCATATATTGTTTCTTACAGGTTTACTATATGAAATAGATAAATATACTCGTATTTATAAACTTTATTATCAAAATTTAATCAAAAAAGTATAAACAAATACTGTTAACATAAAACTAATTAACAGTCCTCAGTCAGCTCCTGTTTGACAATATTAATACAATTAACTTTGTTTGTAGTTCGGAAATCAGTTCATTACTGAACGATTAAGATAGTTTAATCATAATATTATCATTCAAAAAACTAATAGAATCGCTAGAGCTTTTCAGAATTTCCTGAATGTCATAATTTATTCATGAAGTCATCAAATGTAAATTCTGGTATCAAACTGTCCAACCTGTAGGCTACGAAATCTTCGAGTAAAAAGTGGGGATAGCTTAGAATAATGATTTATTAAAATGTTTTAAGTAATCTGATACTACCGCGAAGTACGCGCCATTCCCTTCCTGGATTGGCATAGGAAAATGAAGCCATTATTTATTTTATTCATTCATCCATTTTATTATGAGGAGCTCGATGGCGCAAGTGGTTAGCGCGTTCGGCTGCGATCGTTGAATTTAAGCAACTTTCGCAGTGGTCGGTCATTGGATGGGTGACCAAAAATCTTCTATCTCGAGTTCCTCCGTTCTTCGGAGGGCACGTTAAGCCGTTGGTCCCGGCTGCATCTGCAGTCGTTAGCACCCGCCAATCCGCACGGGGCCCCTGTGGTGGGTCATGGCCCAATCTCCCTATTCCATAGGGAAGGCCTGTGCCCCAGCAGTGGGGACATGAATAGGCTGATGATGATTTTATTTTCTATCATCATCATAATACATCGTCTTGTTTGTGTGTATCAACTTAGCTTAACAATTTTGCGTGAGGTCAAAAATTACCCGACCGAATCGGAAGTCGTCATGAATCACGAACATTCAGTTTTGTAACGAATCTATTCGGCTTCAACAACAATTGACCGTTTTTCGGCGATATTGCGTCTAGTCTCGCAACCGGAGCAGGCAGCGCAGCGCGCGCGACCGCGGCCTTACATAAGCCACACTTTCTTACTTAAACCTGCGGCCAGGCTTGTCTCTCAGTCGCCGCAGTGTCACTTACCGCGCCGGACAATCGTCCTCGCCTCGAACAATACGTTATTGTTTAATTTGTCACCTATTGTTTTGTTTGTGGCAGGAATACTTCGCCAATAGCTCTTGCAGTTATTATAGCTTGTGGTGCGCGCATTGAGTGTGTTATTGTGCGTGAATTATGGATTTTTAGTACGTTTTCTTTACTCATGTGTTTATAGTTCAGTGTGAGAGTTTAAGGGTGTAAGCAATGGAGCGACATTATTTACCGTTCCGTCATAATATGTTCGGTTTGTCCCTTTTATTATTTTACTGTTTTTTTGTGCTTACGCGACCATACAGTGTACCTAGCAAATGATTTCCAAGCATTTAGTTAGATGTTAATAAAACGATCATCTTTAGACTGTTATATGTTCACACGTACTGGGGTAGGAGCAAGAAAAAATAATGCGTGCATCATTTTCTAGCTTGTCCGCTAAATCGTTACTTGTCGCACAGTTAATAAAAATTTAATTAACGCAATGTTATGGAACATTTATGAACACTATTTGAAACAATTTTGAATGCAGTTATATTGTATATGTATAGATATATATATACAGGATAAGTATTGCCTACGTTAACACAGCCCGAAGGAAAGTCGGGTAAGCTACCACTAAGACGAATGCTGGACGCAAAGTAGTCCTAAAAGCGGCACCTCATACATCCATTCATACCACTTTGGTATGATGAAAAAGATAAGGAAAGTTTAAACGAAAACAAAATTTTCTAATTTATCTATGTATAAAAATAATTTTCTAAATTTTCTAATATAGGTACTTACGCATTTTTAACTTGAAACAAAGCCCTAAAATAAGAGACTTGGGAGATTTAGAGAATTACGCCAGAATCGACACCGTTATAGCAAAAATCTTAATATATATAAATCTCGTGTCACAATGTTTGTCCTCAATGGACTCCTAAACCACTGAACCGATTATAATAAAATTCGCACACCATGTGCAGTTAGATCCAACTTGAGAGATAGGATAGTTTAAATCTCAAATTATAGTCGCAATTTTAATTTATTGCAAATTATTACTTTTGGGCGGTACGAAGTTCGCCGAGTCAGCTAGTAATATATAAAAACTTAAAGTTACTATTTAAAAATGGGATCACAAATATTAGATGAAGTAGAAAACTATCTTATTCTCTAATTGTAAAATGCAAACAAAGGTTTTAATTTTATGATTAAAATAAATCAACAAATATACCTTAGGCATACCTAATAATTAATTTAGCAAAAGTATGGTGTGCTCTTATCCTTGATTTTTTTTTTATATCGCGTATAGTATTATAATGTAATGACGGTTGCCGGTCGTTAAATTCCGGTTTGATTGTCATTTTATTGTGAGTAACAATAATCGGCCTGATTCGATGCCGGCGGGGCGACCGTTAGCTAAACGCACTTCTTAACAAAACGTATTGCACTACGAAACTGAATCGCTACAGTTAATATAAATAAAAACATGGAAAAAAAACTATCAACTTCTTTGTGATTTTAACCACTTTTACCTGGTCAATGTTTTACCGTTTCGATGCCGAAAATGATCTCTTCATCGTGGTTCAAAAGAGAACAGAGAATGAGAACTTGAGGAATATTAAAGATACAAACGCTAAAACGTGTTCTACCTAATTTTCAGAATAAATAAATTGTGGTCATCAAAAATGCGACAATAGCGGTGATGACGGGATACAGTAAACGAAATTCTATTTAGTCCGTCGTCAGTTAGATGATCAAAAAATAATGGACGCTTATTTGTTCTTTGGGCAATCAACCAAAAAATGACAAAGTTATAGCGCGTCAAAGTTTGGGAGTTGGGGCTCGTGACGTCACTTTTAAGTGAAAATTGTACCAAAACGCGACGTCATGCGACTTTTCAAATCAATATATCTCTGCAATGTTTACATTATGTGAAAAAAGAATACGTGTCTAATACTTTTTGATAATCTACCTGATAAACGAAGAAAAAAATTTGTCATCATCCCTATTACTTAATTGTTTACAGAATAATAAGAAACTTAATGAATTTTGAATGTAATATGATCTTATAGGCACCTTATAAAAGTTTTCTGCCACACTCACGATATTTTTCCTGAATAAATTCCTGAACTACTGAACTCATTAAGATTAAATTTATCTCACTAATTTGGTCTAGCACAAAAATATATTTTAGATTTCTATATTATTAATTTCAGAATATTTTATTGAAAATCTAAAGCTTGAAACAGGATAACGACAACGCGTGGCAGGTCAGCTAGTAGATTCATATCTTTTAAATAATTCATTACTTCTCAAATTGTCTCACGATACCTGTCCCGTCACACATACTGTTATATTCTGAGTAACTTAGTCATATCAGATAACTGTTTTAAGCATTAACGCGACAGCTTAGTCCACTACGTACAGCCAGGCCTACTCAATTTCAACGAAAAACGAAATTTCGATCGAAATTTCGCACGTTCCTTACTCTGTTTCTATTTCATTTCGAAAATTCGTTCGTCCGAAAATAGTTTGACGTTTAAATTCTCCAAGCCTACTCTAATTCACAAAACTTTCGAACTAAAAGTTGAATTTGACAGATAATTGTTCGAAATTTTAATCTCAAATGACGAAATGAAAAGTGTTACCTTTTCATTTTCGTTTTGGGATTTTTGTTTAAATTAAACCTAAAATTACAACTACAGTATTTTTAATTAGGCTGCTTAGCGTGAGGAAAATTTTTTAGTATGCAAAATTTACAAATAAATCAAATTTTGTTTATTATTGTATTGCCAATACTTCAAAGTGTTACACGACAAATTTAAGTTGACATACATTCGATTGCATAAACTCTACAAATTAGTCGGTTAACACTGTCAAAAGAGGTTGTTTTAATGTAATCAAAAATTTTATCATAAAGTAATATTGTTTTGAAGTAAAAAACGTTAACTAAAAAGTGTAGACAAAAAGAACTCACAAACATCCATTCATTCACTATAATTGTCTGTGATTCCGAACTTTATGTGCGTGTTCGAATATGAAATAGAGTAGGGTCTCTGGCGAAATTTCGTTTAAAATTCGTTCGTTGCCGAAATTTCGTTTCGGAGAAAGAGAGTAGAGCTCCAGGTTATTTAATATTTTCGCATAGCGTTTGTAGTCCACTTAGAACAATGAGTAAAGATGAGTAATATACCTGTATGTGGATCCCTTATCTGTCATACAATCTTATCAAATTTTAAGAGTGAGATCATTCTTTATACGCATACATAACAGAAACCTTATATATATCCTTACTGCCCGAGATATCATTGTTAAAATAAATCTTTAGTCATTCAAACAATTACCAACAGAGTACCTACGCTAGTCATTTATTTTATTAATGTGATTACGATTAATGTTACGATTTTTACGAGTCCCCGATATTTCGAACTCCTAAAAAACGAGGTACATGGTATATGTCATGGCACGAAACTCTAGCGATGACTGTTATTGCGCGAAAGTAAATATTAAGTGTCGCCGCACACGGGCCATACGCTACAGCCACAAACGCCGCCACGACAAGCAGTAGCGGCTACTAAAGTGGCTGAACCGCGCGACAGCGGCCGACTAAGGTAAGGGAGAGAGGGGGGGGGAATCGCGCGAGTGACGTGTGGCGGCGTTTTGTATCGGCGCATTAAGTGGCCGGTGCGGGCCTCAAGAAGCGGGCAACGACGATTTGTAGCGTGTGGCGGCTACCGGCGTACCGTGTGTGGCGAGTCCATATAAAATGTATGCAAACTAAAAGAAATATGCCGGTGGCGGTGTTTTGTGCTTGTGGTCGGTGGCCCGTGTGCGGCGACGCTAAGATGTGTTGGGGGGAAATGAGGTGTGCGGCAGGCGCGGTCCGAAGGGGGGGGGGGGTCACAGGGGACATGACCCCCCCCAAAATCTAAGGTCAAATTGAAAAATCTCAAAAAATTGCCAAATAATAAAAGGAAATTTCTGGTTATCCCCTAACAGCGATAAATTTATAGTTTGCTGACATTTAGTGGTGTTTTTTGAACTACGTAACTACGATGGCCAAAATAACTTGGAAATGACATCTAGTACTACTATGTATTATATCATCGAAGTTTGTAATGATGATTTATAGCCAAATATAAAGACATTTCTCAAAATCTGGTAACTCTTCCCATAAGTGGTACCTATTTTTTATTAGTGTAATGAATGACTCCCTCCAAAATTTCAGGCTGCGACCGCACCTGGTGTGCGCCCACCCGTGCGTTGCGCCGATTGTCTCTCCAGTCGTACCCATTCGCAGCTCTCCCCTCCGCGTTTTGTTGAGCGCTAGATTTTACGAGATTACCATGAAAGTTCCAATTAATATAGATTGCCCACGATTAGATTATAACTAGCAAACCAGTGAACCAAATGTTCACCAAAACCTGATTTGAAAAAAAAAAGAAAAAAAATGTATTTAATTAATTGAGAACTTCGGAGATTTTGTGTGGTTTCGTTTGAAATTCGTGATTTCTCGAAAACCGAAAGTGCTACGTTACTCAAATCCGGTTTGTAGTCTTATCAGACTATTCTTAACTTATAACTTAAACATTCTCTTTATCTATCTCTTACGGTTTGGCCGCTGAAACAGCACCACAGACTGACGGACAGACGGACTTGTCTAATAGATAAGAGATTATCGTGTATAGTAAAGAAGATTGTTAATTGAGTGAGTGTTACCAGGTGAAGCACCCAAGCCCAGCAGCGCGTACCCCAAAGCTGGGCTGATCCTCCGCACGGCCACCATGAAGGACAGCGTCTCCAGCGACTCGTCCGTGCACGCTGGTATGTATTACTGTAGTAACCGTTTGTAAAAAAAACGAAAAAATGGATGCGTGTAACTTATGTACGCGCGTGAGAAGTTATACTTCTTTAGCATCATTAAAAATATTTTTAATTGCATGCAAATAATTAATAATTACAATAAAATAATAAAAGGACTGGAAAAGGATAGTTAACACAGTCAATTAAGTTCAGTTTTAATTTGAAAAATTAAATAAATATTCAAAATATTCAATTAAAATCACTACTGAATTTAAGTTATTAGTCCATATGTAATTAGCACTCGTAAGTAACTAAAACACGTTGTGTCTATATAGAAACTAGAAACATGTGGATAAATATTATAAATATGAAAACAGTGATCAGAGGCGACGAGCGTGCCAACATTGTTTTTGAGAACGCGATCATCTTATGGAGCTCCGTGGATCGTTCAAAGTACCTTTCGAACAGATGTCTAATAATGGTGGATTACTAACATTCATAACGCGCCCGCGGCCAACTTCATGGTGTTACTATTGTGTTACAGTGATGCGCGCGCATCTCGAAATTTCACTCACATGATTTTTTCATAACGCGCCCGCGGCTTACTTCATTATGTTACTTTTGTGTTACATAAAAATTCATAACGCGGCTAAAGAAGTATAACTTCAATAATTCTGTTGATTTGACGTATATATGTCTTTTTATACCTACATACTGTACACTTGTCTAGTAACTTCTACCTTCATTACATTAACCACTAGAGTATATGTTCCAGAGAACAAGAACTTCAGAATAATTTCTAATACTTACCTCATCATCATCATCAGCCTATTAATGTCCCCACTGCTGGAGCACAGGCCTTCCCTATGGATGGAATAGGGAGATTGGGCTATGACCCACCACGCGGGCCCAGTGCGGATTGGTGGGTGCTAACGACTGCAGATGCAGCCGGGACCAACGGCTTAACGTGCCTTCCGAAGCACGGAGGAGCTCGAGATAGTAAATTTTTGGTCACCCATCCAATGACCGACCACATGCGAAAGTTGCTTAACTTCAACGATCGCAGCCGAACGCGCTAACCCACTTGCGCCATCGAGCTCCTCTTACTTACTAATACTTACCTAGCCAGTTCGATTTTGAAAAAAAGTATAATAGATCAAATTAATCAATACTTATCCAGAATTCATTAAATAATGACACCAAAGAAAAATATAAAATTGAAACGTATTTCACCTTGACATCGCAATTTGTTTCTCTATATGTACTATTTTCTTACACACACACTTCTTTAACTGTCAATCATCCAAGTTATTTGAAGCATTTTTCCTCCAATTTGCAATAACATTGTGCAGGTTTAGCGCGCACCGACAGCGAACACAGCTTAGGCTCCGTAGAAGAAGTGATCGTGACCAGTAGTACTGACCGCACCGGTCGCACGAGCTCTGACCGCATGACCCGGGCGACTACGCAGGCCGACCGCGTGACTCGGGCGACCCCGCAGGTAGGGATGTCGAAAGTTGAAAAAAATATCGATATATCGATACATCGATCTTTTAAAAAATATCAATATATCGCTTCGATATATCGATATATCGGACCAATTTTCCCAAAAATATCGTACAGTATCTCACGAAATATGACACGCGGAATAATAATGGAACGAAAATTATCTCCCTAAAAATAGACCCTATTTTCGAATGATGAAAATGATAACAGGGCCTCTCAGATAAATGATTGCAGGGTCTCTTTCGTAAACAAGACTAGACAGTCACACACTTCACAGAATATAATGGAAATCAGCACAACCAATTCACCAGCGACACACAACACAACAGATTTACAAATAATAGACAACACTAAATACAGCACAGATCATAGATATGTTGAATATCATTAATCTGAGATCCAGTTACCATTTTTCCAGATACGCTTAGTTAGATCGTGATATGCCGCTAATAATTAAAAAAATATCGTTTTTGATACGAATTCCGATATTGGTTATTTTTTATCGATGTATCGAATCAAAATATATCGAACAAAAAATATCGATATATCGATACATCGATATATTTTCAACAAGCCTACCCGCAGGTCGACCGCGCGAACCGGGCGACCACTCAGGCCGACCGCGTGACCCGGGTGACGACGCACACGGGTCGGTCCGGCCCGGCCGTCGACCGCGCTGGTCGCACCACCGTCACCACTACCACCACCACAACGCGCGCGCGGGCGCCAGCCTCCTTCCTCGACAGTACCACCAAAGTGACAGGTGTCCAGGACATACTCACCAGGATGAAGAACGCTGACATAGGTAAGATTTTGACAAACAGCTTTAAATAAAAAAAAAATGTGTGTGTCAGCTCCGACGCACGACCGGAATTTACACTCTAAAAACGATTGTCTTTGAACAGACACAAAACAAAATCAAGTCCGAAGAAGTCGGTTACAAGTAGAGATACCTCAGGAATCTTCCCATGGTTTCGACTATCATAGGTTCCATGTCACACATTTTATCATCTAACATTAGCGATATTCATCATATATTTTATTATGTATTTTTGGAAACACACAATTTCAAAAATATCACTAGTCCAGGCAACGAAAAGGTATAGAGGGAATTGCTTAGAACACAATTTTTGACTTCGTGACTTTGTTAGGACTAGTTAGGAGGTAAACATATCAAAAGTCCCCGCCCGTAGCCCTTAAGCCGGGGGGAGGGGGGGGGCTTGAAGGTCCCATTTTTAGGTTTTTCGCATATATCTCGAAAACTATGCATCCTAGCGACATGAGACTTTCACAAGCCTTACGAGCCCCAGCAGTGGCTGCCCACTGAGGACCCCGTAACCCTTACGGGCGCTTTACGGCATAATATCCGCTAAAAAACCCTGCGAACACCCTCTAAGCTGCTTAGTGCGAAGCCGCGAAATCCCCGTTTAGGGATTCTTCCGCGTCTCCGCACCTAGCAGCCTCCCGGCCTTGCCGAGGTTCCGCGGCAGGGGTCTCCCGGGGTATAGCGAGGACCCCACAGACGTGCGCAGGACGGCCCGCGCGTGGGGGCTGAGTACGCGGCCTAGTGCTCACCGTACCGCCCCCATACGTCTACTACACTAACAATTTTGTCCTTAAATAAAAAAAAAAGGCAATTGTTTCTATTATTGAAGATAATTTAATGCTCTACAACCCTACGGCCGGCATTTATTTTTTGGGTGCATTGTTGAAGAGTTATCCGGTCAAATAGAGCAAAAATGGGAACAAATTTTTTTTCCATAATTACAGACTTTCAAGAGCGGATATCTCGAAAACTATACAAGATATCAAAAAATTTGACTGAATAAGACTTGTAGCAAATTTAATCAGCTTTCACTTTTGTGAAAATCTCATGTCGCTAAGATGCATAGTTTTCGAGATATATGCGAAAAACCTAAAACTGGGACCTTCAAGCCCCCCCCCCCTCCCCCCGGCTTAAGGGCTACGGGCGGGGACTTTTGATATGTTTACCTCCTAACTAGTCCTAACAAAGTCACGAAGTCAAAAATTGTGTTCTAAGCAATTCCCTCTATACCTGTTTTTGAGCATTCGTTGCCTGGACTACACACACTAGTCATCATTTTGTAAATATGTATTATAATTCCATCTGTACTGAAAATCACTATTCCAGAGTGCTGGACACTCACCGGCATTTCTCTATATTCTGTTATTTATTTGTTTTCATTAATTTTGCTCCGATTTTATCTATTTTTAGTTTATTTATTTTATTGACATTTGTGACAACTTAATGTTTTTTATCTGTTGTCATGGCTAAAAGTGAAAGGTGCGCAGATGAGGTTGCGCACAAAAACGTAACGAGGTCATTAATGTCATTCATCGATAGATTTTACTCCTCACGTTTTTCTCATACCGGGCCCCTTATATATGCAAATCGATTCTTAAGGAGTAAACTCCAAAAAGGGACAACAGTACCCTTAGTACGAGTGTTACAGTTACGAAAACTTAGTTAGCTTTCGTGAGCTCGCATTCGTACTAAGGGTTTTGATTTTATTGTTTTCGTTTCAATACAAATAAACAGTGTTTGAATTATATCACTAAATCATTTGCGTCTTCTTAAATTTTAAGTATATTTGGGTAATTTTCACCAAAATGGACATAGAAACATAATTTACAATTACGTAAAATATGTTTTCGTGAGCTCAAACTCATACTAAGGGTACAGCAGCCCATCTCTCTCTCTCTCTGGTCGGTCCCTCATGACTGAGGATCATGGTCAGCATGCTAGTTGCATCTGGAATGGATGATCTGCCTCCACCGGTTTCTGTCCAGCGCGTCTCTCACAACCGTATAAAATTTGGACGACGACGTTCCTTTTATTTGATCTGTCCATCTAGTTGGTGAACGACCGCGCGATCGTTTGCCTTCGGTGTAATAATAATCATCATCAATAATAAATAAAATAAATAGAACAAGTCAATATTTACTATTAGTCAGTATATGAATCATGCAACAATGACGCATGTACTGACTGTCGATTCTGTTTGCAAACAAGCTCAGAATGCCGTTGGAGCTGGCCCGAACCCTACTTAACAGTGATGCACATCGCTTCCGTATGACGGTGAAGAAATAGTCCAACTGTGCATCAGCAAACATCCCTGATACACTGCAGAAACGCGGCGGCCCAATCAGTACCCTTAGTACGAGTTTGGCTCACGAAAACTATCATAGTTTTCGTAATTGTAAATTATATTTCTATGTCCATTTTGGTGAAAAATAACCAAATATACTTAAATTTTAAGAAGACGCAAATGATTTAATGATAGAATTTAAAAACTGTTTATTTGTATTGAAACGAAAACAATAAAATCAGTACCCTTAGTACGAGTGCGAGCTCACGAAAACTATCATAGTTTTCGTAATTGTAAAACTCGTACTAAGGGTACAGCACACTCTCTCAGACTTAAAGATTGCGTGTTTTGTACAATGACTCGCGTTATTGTACAAAACACGCAATTTTTAAGCAATGCTCTAGTGAAATATGACATGATAGTGTCCAGATACGGTTTTTCGTAAGGTACAGGCTGTGTGTGCATTACACACGTCTGCAGTGGTCTGAAGAAGCGCCGAGCGCCATACTCCACGATTCCATTTCGACTGCACCCTTACTAGAAGGTTCTAGTAAGGTAATGATTGCATACTGGCGATAGATGGGCTAGAGACGTTTTAGATTCACTAATAACCATTAATGTTAAGAGCCCTTTCACATTTTTTGCAAAAACTCGTAATTTTTGAGTGCCCCCTTTACCCCCTTAGAAAAGTTTTTGCGTATTTCCAATAGAAGTAAACAGTAGATTTGTTCTTCCTGTTGTAAATTAATGTAAAATATTTGCAAATACTATTTTCTTTTTTTTTGTACTGATCGTTCTACTGCAGCTAGTTTACGGAAAAAACGATAATATACACAACTTCAAACGCCTCAATCTTTCAATAATGTTCATTAGATTAAATTAATGACTACGACATCAGAAATATGTTGTTAATTTGTTGTAACATAATGTATTATAATTTTGATTTTCCATCTCATTAATTAACAAAATAAATATCTAAGTTCCGTGAGTTTTCCCAAAAAATAATGCAGATTTACCTCGTATTTTGATATTGAATTAAAAAGAATTACTATCAAAAACTTTCATAAAACTAATCTACCATCATTGAACTACTGAAATATGTATATTTTTTTAGAATTAGTTAATTAATAATTATTCTATAAGACTCAACACTTCACCCATAAAATGCAATATATACTAGTACAAATCTACCTACGCGCAATTTTGTAAAAGGGCTGTTAAATATCTATCGATAAGTATAGCAAAAATTTAAATAGTCGTTCTTGATAGAGGTCACTCTGAGCAAGTTCTCTCTGTGCAGTGATCCAAGAAGGCGACAGCAGCGAGGACAGCGAGGCACGGGCGCTGCTCAACAAGTTCCTGGGAGCCACTGTGCTCATGGCCGGCATGCAGGGCTACGTCACAGAGGGCAGCCCGGGCAAGATGACCATCAAGGTGAGTGCAATGTATACGAGGAAATTTTGATTATGAGTATGAACTTAATTAATTATGAGTGACTATTGGAATAGTTTTTTTTTTATATCTAGTTTAGGTGGCGAACTGATATACTAATGTGCACCAAAGGTAGGTACAGTGTATAATTTTAACAACCATATCGTATAATTTTTATTATTTTAAAGCATGTAACTGCTTGATGTTTAAATTTAAAGAAAAATATAACTAGAAAAAATTCCACGCGGACCAGGCAGCAGACGGGACTCGAACCCGCACCTTTCGCAATCCGGGCGAATGCACTGACCAATTATGCTAACGCGGCCCTCACGGACCGCGTCGAAATTCCTCAAGCCTAGTAAAAGTATTCATTTGACATTGTGGGTTACCTATAATGCGAAGAGATGGCGCTGCCTTGCAGCTTAAGAATGGCTAGAGGAATTTCGACGCATTCCGTGAGGGTCGCGGTATCATAATTGGTCAGTGCATTCGCCCGGATTGTGAAGGGTGCGGGTTCGAACCATATCGTAATTATGCTCATACTAAATACGAAAAAGAAATAAATGTGGTGGTTGTAAATACAGCAGAGACCCTGTCCCCGCAGCATGAGCACCACTAAGAATATTTACCTACACTCATGTCGAAATATTTAAATTACGAATTTAAAGATAGTCTAAACCTGAGTTGAAGGCGGGTGTGCGCCTTGCAGCCTAAACTACTAAATAAAAAAAATTAAAAAAAACATGCATATTCCCTATTATTCACTGCACCTCGTATGAAAAGAAATAATTTCTCTACTTTTTTAGCGATCTTGACCTATTCCATTTTTCATACAAACTGGCATTTCATTTTTTAAACCCTCGGGATGTCTATTATGGAAAGTCCTTTTCTTGGCGGATCCTATATCTACGACATTTAATAACTACGAGTATCTACAAGCTAAAGTTCGCTTCAGCACAATCCGTGCGTTACTTTTTAAGCTGTCTATTGATAAACCAGTCAGACATGATTGTCTATACACCGTGTTCCTGAGGATATACATTAACTTTGAATAATACTTCTATAGTTCTTGTTAAACATATCGTACAAGGAAAGTAGTAGTTTAAATAGCATAGTTTTTAAGTTATTGGTAATTTAAGTTTAACCAACTTAATTGTGTTGTGCAGTGAGAAAGAGTCTTTATCTCTGAGATGTTGCCACTTTGTGCAACAAAACTGTCAAACTATGAACTCTTTGTCAATGGTCATTAAGTCATAGTTTCAAAAGTCAAAATTTTAAAAGTAAACGTCAAGAAAAGTTTCAAAAAGTTTCAAATGCGACGTTGCCAGCTCAGGTAAAGAGTAATTCATTTTAGATAGATTATATCTAAGCATTTAGTTTGTATGAAAATAAAAAATGTTAAAGAAATTGGAATTCATAAAAGTGTCCATAGTAAAAAATGATCAATGTAATGGTCTGAATAACATGCCAAAGTTAGTGTATAACTTCAGGAACACGGTGTATACAGAAAAAGAAACAAAACTAAAACATACACATCATAACAAAAACAAAGTATTGACCTATATAAATACCAAGTAATACATCAACAAAATATACCATCGAAAATATCTACGTACAAAGACCCCGAAATGTATAAAATAATATAAAGCATAACGCACGCGCAGTCGACTAAGGCTTTTAATCTGTGTGATTGCTGGAAGGCACCTTAATCATCAATTCCATTTCATTTTTAACAATTTTAGGTATGATCTCAAGTTTACCAAGTCTCCTGTAAAACTTCACGGCTAGGTACCTATTTTCCAGCGAAATTGCATTCATAAAAAGTAAAATAATTAAAAAAAAAGTTCACCAATGACGACCTCCATGGCTGAGTGGTTTGTACGCCGTGTTTCAAGGTGTCGCCTACTCGAGAGGTCACAGGTTCAAATTGCGGTTGGGGCAGATGTTTCTGTGATGACTGGAGTACAAATAGTCATGAATGTTTGATATGTATTTCTATGTAAATATACTTATATAAGTACAGTATATATTTCTATCCGTTACCCTAGTATCCCATAAAACAAGCCTTCCAATGCTTACTTTTCGGCTAGGCTCATTGGTGTGAATGTTGAAAATATTGAATTATTTGATTTACTCATTATTTAAAGCTTCATACGAAAGGCCAACTAAATCCCAAATGCGCACTTTTATAACAAAGCTCTTTCCTGGAATATTATAATTTACAATGATTCCCACAAAAATCTTTTTGTTCTTAAATGAATCGCAGCGGTTCTCCAAACATTGTCTTTGATGAAATTGTGCTCGATTTGGAGAGCGACCAACGGCGCTAGCCACTGACCCCGGCATCTACAAGTAGTAAACAAAAGACATGCTCGCTGCGTACGCGCACCAAGCTATTGCCGTTTAAAGACACGCGCGGAAAGCGACGAAAATCGCGGCGAAAATAACACGACGCATCGCCGACATTTCACCGCGGCCACAACGAGAAGGACGCATATTACCGCGCTACTCAGATCAAAATAGTCTTTGTTGTAGCCGCTTTTAAAGTTGGCAATGGCTTGTAGTTTTCCCGGCACTATATTTGGTCAGGTGACGTCAGAGGCGGCCGCACGCGCAGTCCGTCCCGCACTCCGGCGCAGAACGGTGCGCGCCAAAATCGATATGACTTAAAATTTTAAAAAATTATTATAAATTAAATTTATACCAAATTATGGTTTAAGATTTAAATATAATCAAACAAACCCGTAGATAGTGCAATACCGCTAAACGCGGCAGGCAATAGTGACGTACCCAATTACTCGATTCAGGATTTCAGTTTTACCCCTCAGGTAAGTTATTTTCTTTTATATTTTCTATTTACAAAATAGATAATAACTTGAAGATTTGCTGAAAAAATAATTTATTATTAACTTTTTTTTAACAAAATTTGCGTCTAAATTTAATGTAATTAATTAAATTTTCAATCGCTTATTAACCTTTAATTTGTTTAGTTTTAGGGTTAATTCCAAAATTAATGTAATGCAATTTAAGAATTAGATATTTTTTTTTTTGCAAACTTGCTAAAATTTACTTTTACATCATTTTATCGTGGTATACTGTAATTGAAGTACACGAGCCAGTTATCAATAGTATGAGTCATACCTTGAGGTACGTACGGTTATGACCTCGGGTGTCACCTGTGAAGCTTGACATTGTCACGTCACGTCACGAGCGAGCGACACGGTCGCGACATCCCGCGGAATGTCGCGCGACGGAAGTGTGCCATTCGTAGGTTATGAGAGCTTAACCTCCACTCGTGAAATTGAGCCGAAAATATCTGTCTTTCCACACGGCATCGGCAGGAATGTGGAGATGCGACTACGCCGACCAAGAGCCGACAGCTCTAGCGCCCACTTCACTCAAATATGTGAAATATGTTCTTCTTACTCAATATTTTTTTATAGACTCTTGTGTTTCTCAAGAAGTCTTCTAGAACTCTGTTAATTTACTAACATACACGTACACGTTTCATGAAAACCATTCACTTCACTAAAGATCTTTCTCAAAGCTAGAGAAAATTTTCGATGCGATTTATACAATTACTTTTCCAACTATGAAATTCAAGCAATTGCGGAAATAGAAATAGTAATACAAATTCCTTATTAAAAAAAACGTCCTGAAACATCTCTTTCGAGTTATAAAAAGTATTAATAGTCTGCCGTCGGTGAAAATATGACTTCCACAGGGACATGTTATTAAACCGAATCCTTATTCATTACCAATATAGTAAATGTTTGTTTTCTGTCTGTCTATGACGTTTTTACGCGTAAACTGCTAAACTAATTTAAATGGATGATTTACATATAGGGAGGACAAGGGCATAGGCTGGTTTTGTAATGAAAATTAATCTTTGATGGGTTTGAAATAGGGGATGCCTTGGTATAAGTATCATTCGAATTTTAATCTAGTATAACTAAGCTGCAAAGTTTGTTTGTTTGGTTGAACGTATCTCTGGAACTACAGCTCGGGTTTTAAAATTTCTTTTTGTGTTAGATAGTGCATTAATCGAAGAAGGCAGGCTTTATAACATCACACTACAAAGATTGGGAGACAATCATGTATGACGGCATTGTTTCCGTTTGAGAGTTATATAAAAAAAAAGTCCACCACAGCATATGTCTATCTTTTAGTTAGACTCACTATAGCTTTTTTCCTCGAATTAACCACATTCATTGACTGTTAGGCGACATGAAGTTCGCCGGGTCATCATCATCATCGTCAGCCTATTAATGTCCCCACTGCTGGGGCACAGGCCTTCCCTATGGATGGAATAAGGAGATTGGGCCATGACCCACCACGCGGGCCCAGTGCGGATTGGTGGGTGCTAACGACTGCAGATGCAGCCGGGACCAACGGCTTTACGTGCCTTCCGAAGCACGGAGTAGCTCGAGATAGTAAATTTTCGGTCACCCATCCAATGACCGACCACTGCGAAAGTTGCTTAACTTCAACGATCGCAGCCGAAAGCGCTAACCACTTGCGTCATCGAGCTCCTCTCGCCGGGTCATATACGAAAAATTACTTTGTATACAGACAAACTCACGGGTTCATTAGCTAGTAAATTTCATCCATCCAACAGATTGCCATTAAACTTTTCACTCAATAGTGACAGCCGATTGCCTCCAATTTGCCTACTACCTTATTGATACTTATTGACTTCTCATCAGCGCGACAAAGTTAGCAGAGAGTGCATTCTAAATCGTTTTTCACGTAGTCCTGTGTGGTCCGGACAGGGAACAATTTATCAATAATATTCTTCGATAAGGCTTCAAAGTCACTAAATGCACTATTATATTTGGGGTCTATCTTGTATCTCAGAATTTTTAATGACATAATTTTATTATGCATATCAGCGGTTGGCATTAACTTCGGTCTAGTACCCATTGGACCCTCAAGATTCGACCCAAAAGCAAAATCGGTCTACATCATCAAATCATTTGGCATTCACTCATTTATGAGACATT